TGCTCCGGGACAGGTCAGACCCCAGCAAGGGGGGCTGGGCCCCAGAGTTGGAGTTGCAGAGACAATAAAACTGGGGGTGAAGGGTTAGGGTTAGTTTGGTTTGAGATTTAAATGAACGGAACTGAGGGCTCACAGGGTGGGGTTTTGGGGGTGCGGGGAACCCTCCCCCCAACACATAGATCCAAAATTACGCAATCGGAACCAGCGGTCCTAGTGGAGCTGGGTGGTGATCCGACGCTCCCGAGCGCTTGCCGCAGGGTTTGCCAGGCGCCCAGGCCGCCAGCCTCGGAACCTGCCCAGCCCGCGAGCTCAGGCTGGATTCGAGTAGGAATCCATTCCAGTTGCCCTGCCCGCTGCGACTGTTTGGGGCCCGCCTGCTCTCTGCTCCTCCATCCACCCTCGTATCCTTTCCAGGCTCCCAGCAGTCCACGGACCTGCGGCCGGGTGCTTGGCCTCCGCAGAGCCTGCGCTGTTTGGGGGGTCTGCCCGAGCAGGGCTCCCCGCCACCACCACCCCGCGCAGGACCCACCTCCCTCCCCCGTCCCGCGATAGCGCGGATGGCGTTTCTGTCCAGTCTCCGGTCATCTCCCAGGTCCCGCGGGCTTTTGTCGCACGGCATTTTCGGATATTTCCTACCAGAAAAACTCTGGGTCCTAACGGCGCCGGGAAATTTTGCTGGGAAATGCGGATACGTCCGAATCCCAGAGGGCCCAGAGTATCCCATTTAAAAATAAAGGAGACCCTCGTTTCCCAAGATTATACTTTGCTGGCACAAATGAAGAAGGCCCAAGAAACCGTGGCCGCGGGTAATGACGGAAGGACCAGGACCCTCCCCTAACTGGGAACAAAAAAAGGTGCTTGGCGTGCTGAATTTAATTTCTGTTTCGTTGTTTGGTTCAGATCCTCCAAAAGACTTAAATCTGAACTGTGGACCAAACCTCTGATGCAGAAAAAGTATTTCTGTCTTTACAACAAGCTTTGGACCCTCTGCTTTGTGGCAGACCCCGGAGGAGCGGGGCCCGCAGCCGCCTCCTGCTTTTGTTAGGCCGAACTTTTGTGTCTCCGCTTTCTGAGCCTCGCAATCCGCATTTCCTCCCAATCTCCGATTGGACGCGCGACGCTCAAGCCTCCAGACATCCTGGCTTCCCACACTGGGAGCCCGGGTCCCGACCCGCGGCCCAGGGACGCACACCGCCATCGCCTCCGGAACCCTGGATTTCTTGGCGGTGGGGTTTGGGGACAAAGGCGCGCGAGTGGCCAGTGTCCGCAATAAGGGGGAAGGGTGGGGGCTGGTGTTTTCTCCTCACCTTTCTTTTCGGCCCGAAGGTCCTTGGCAGGGTCCGGGTCGCCGTAGGCGCGCGGGTAGAAGGCGGGGGCGGCGGGGAAGGCAGGCACGCACTTGGCGGGCGAAGGCGCGGGGCCCAGCTCAGCTCGCAGCTCCGGGAGGCCGGGCGCCGCCGCCTCGGGCCCCGCGTAGGCCTCGGGCTTGAAGGCCGCCAGCATGCAGGAGGCGGGCGCCAGGGTGGCCTCCAGGCGCGCCGAGAGCTCCCCGGCGGCCAGGCTGCGCTGCTGCTGCTCCAGGTTCAGAATGTCTTTGACAGAGAACGGCGTGGGTGTGAGTGCGGGGCTGGGGAACATGGTGGCAGCCCCCGTCTTACAGCGCCAGGTGGGCGGCAGAAAGCGGCGCTGCCCGCGGCCCCTGGCAGCCTCGCGGCATGGTGCCCGCCGGCCGTCCGCGCGCGCCCGCTGGCCTGCTTGGGGATGTGCGGGGCAGCAGGTAGCGCCCAGCACCAGGGGCAGGGGAGGCGGGACCAGCCCAGGGGAGGGGGCGCTCAGCCAGCCATTGGGCCGGGGGCGCGATGACAGGAGCAATGAGCAGTTTCGTGTCACCTAATATAGTCATAGGACTCAAAAAAAAAAAAAAAAATCCTGCTCAGCATTTTAAAGGGGCCACCACACATTAAAGAGATCTCCTCTTTTTTGCTCCAGTAGCCAGAGTTTCTGGAGAGTTTTCTCCCGAGAAACACAGCCAGGAAAGGGTTTGGCTGGGTGGGAATGGTGGGTCTACGACTTGAAGAAATGCTCTTCAGCACCCAAAACAATGGGAATGAAGGATTGGGTGTGGAGCTTGGGAGGAAAAGCATTTCAGCTTTTTTTTTTCCCCTCCGAATTTTCAGGCTCAATCACTTCATCAGCATCTGACTTGGAGAAGAAGCTTAGGGGAGAAGGCATGCTACAGAGCCTCACAAGGCGGAGATCCTGGATTTTGGGGGGTGATAACTGACTGTTCCTACAGGGCCTCACATGCCCTTATAGCCTCCCTGCCACCCCTCAACACCCTCCCCCCTTTCCCAGGACCCCAGACCTAGAGGGTTTTCTGGATGAAAAGAGCTGGCAGGGTATGGAGAAGGTTGTGGAGTGAGAGACAGCTCTTCGCCATGGTGAGAATTGTACAGTGCACAACTACTGGTGGTACCTGGGGAATTATCCTCTCCTTAATACTTAAATCCAAATTCCCTAGAGAGCTGTCCCAGGGTGCCCCCAGACCAGTATCCTGCCTCAGGAGCCCACCTTCATGCCCCTTTCCCACACCCATCCTCCTAGCTAGCAGCAAGACCCTCAGGTTCATTCAAGCCCCAAGACCCCAAAGGCCCCCAGCCCAGGTTTAAAGTCTTGACAGGCAGGGCTCTTTGAGCCCAGCTGGACCAGGACTTCTCTGAGGTCTCTGAGCCTGGTTCTGAGTGGGGCACCCTGGTGGCAGGCCTGACACATGTAGGTGGGGTGATCAATTTTAGCCCAGGTTCATTAAAGTAGGTGTTCAGTCTAGACAAATCTGACACCATTTCTGGAGCACACACTAGGTGGCCTTGTCATCTAAAGCCCCATCTTATTCCTTTGGGCCCCTGCACCCTTTGAAAGATCTGATGAAAGCTCAGGGCCCTCCACGCCACTGCCACCTCAGAACTCTGCCTAGAGGTGTCTATTTGGCCTACAATTTCAGGAGGGTCCTGGAAAGCCCCAAGGTTGAGGGGCATCCACCTTAGGTTGCCTGAGGTTGGCCCAGCTTATCTGTGGGAAAACGTTTGATTTTTCTAAGACTCAAACTCGCAGAGGACGGGCACATTCGGGACAGGGACATCTGCTGAGGTTGGAGAGGTGGAGGGCTCCCCTTCTTGCCAGGGAGTTTAGTAGGAAAAAAGGCAAAGGCCACACAGGATCAAAGACTCAGCACATACAGGCCCCGCTTCCTCTGGCCCCCAAAACCCCCAAACGCTCTTCCATCCAGTAGATTCTGACTCATAGCTCATAGAACAGAGTAGAATTGCCTTGAGACTACCTTTACCCGAGTAGAAATTATGATCTTTTTCCCGGAGAGCCTCCAGTACTAGCTCTTGGGCTTAAAGGACCGGTAGGCAGCCCTAGGGAATGGACTGGAGTCAAGCCCTGGCTCAGTGCTTGGAACTACCCAGACCCTTCAAACTTCGAACCCAACTCCCAGGGCCTGACTGAGGCCTCCGAGCTTAGGGCACAGGGGAGAAGAGCCCTGCGGAGCGGGTCCGGGAAGAAGGCAGCACCCTGGGCCTCTGCCCTGACCTGGCCGGCCGATTTCCTAGCCCAGCTCGCAGGCACCAGCACCAGGCCCAGGCCGCCTCCTGCTTTGGAGCCAGGGACGACGCTTGGTTCTAGGGTTAACTCCTCTGAGAAGAATGTCTTTCCCCAAAAGTGTACAGGAGCTCTAGGACTCCTTCGCCTGCCACCTTCCCACTCACCCCTGCTCTCCCCCTCCACGGACCCTCCTATGCTCAGAGGCTTTGGCACCCACTTTCTTGCCGGGCTTTTTACAATGATCGCTCCCAACTAACCTATGTTGTGGGTCCACGTCGCTTTTGAAGATTGTTTTGGGGGAGTGGGAGAGAAGGGCTATCTCCCAGGCGGTGACGTCTGGCAAACGAGCCACATCCGATTCAATTAAGCGCCCCGCTGAAAGGCGCTCAGAGAGAGCGAGGGTCCTGGGAGCGCAGTTAAGTGAATGGGCTGGCCCGACGGCTCTCGATGACAGTTTGAAAGATTAGTGTGAGCCGAAGCCTGAAATATTACCGTTTAATGGGGGACATCAAGGCTGCATCCGGGATCCCTGTTTTCAGGTTTTTAAAGAGAGGGATAGTTCTGGAGGAAGAAAAAGGAGAGAGAGAGAGAGAACCTGAACAATTTCCTCCGCAAATGCAGGCTGTGAAGCTGTCTCACCTCATTGGGCCTGCGGGCTTCCCAGACCCACAGAGAGACCTGAAGGTCAGTTGTCAGGAAAAGGAAGGAAAAAAAGACCTTCCTATTTTTGACAAAATCAATGCCTTCACCCCTCATGCCCCCTGTAAATCCGGTAATAATTTTTCTTAGCTTAAAAAAAAAAAGGCAGGCATTGGTGTTTCCAAAGAGAGGCTGGGGTGGGGCTGGGGGACAAAACCCGATAAATAGGTACGGAATTGAAATTGAGGGGCAACTTTTGCTGGGCACAGCCAAGAAATAAGTCAAGAGCGATTTCTAGCCTTTTCAGGGTGCAGTCCTTACTGTTATATAAATGGGGTGGCAGGGTGGATTTCCCCTTTAAATCGAGGTTGCCAAGATTGGGGATAGGGAGGCCAAGCTTGATTCTCAAGCCCTCTCATCTCACCCCCCCTCCCTCCCCCAGGTGGCTGACTGTCCATCTCCGCCTCTCTAAGCCACACTTTGGACAAGCAAACCGTACAAACAAACAGCCTTCAGCCAAGAGAAAGACCCGTAGAGCCTCAGTTGGTATTGATAATCTATGCACGTAGTTCCTTGCCTTTTAGAGTTGATACTCCAAGATTAGCTGAATTCCAGGGTAACACATATAAAATATTATTAATTGAAAAGAGATCGGCCTCCCCCCCCCCTTCCTGCAATCAACGGGGCTGGCCGCAGAAGGTATATATGATTAATTGAAAGATAAGCTGGAACTATCACCGGGAATGTCATTAATGCGCCGGGGAGACGTCCATTGGAGACAGGCAGCGTTATCCGCGGCTTTATCTTCAACAACGCCTCGCTCTCGACCCGCGCCGGGGGAAACAGATGGGGGTTTCTGTCTGGGACGCTCACCCCTTGTTTATATTTTGGGAAGAATCGCAACTCGTGGGAGTCCCCGGCTGGCCCCCTGATAAATGAACATTAGCACTTTTTCGGACTACTGTATCAACAAAGCGGCCGCGGCGCGGCAATAATTGGTGAGAAAGCAAACAGAGGGCGCAGAGGACAGCGCGCCTCTGCTCTTCGTCCGGCTGATGGATGAGCAGCGGAGGCTGCGGGCCCGGCTCCCGGATCGCCCGGGCCCGGCCGGCCTCGGGGCCCCTCCGCCGCCCAAGCTTCCTTCCTGGGCCGGGCTTGGGGGTCGGAGCCAGCTCTGGAGGCTGTGAATGTCGCCGGTGTCCACTGGGTTTTTTCTTTCCAGAAACGCGACTTACTCAGGTGATACAAAAGGCCCCTCGTGTCGTTTTTTTTGGACGCCCACCGGGTGCACCCCGGGCTCTCAAATCTGTCATCACGGATCCTCTGATTTCCTGGCAGAGGAGAGTGCAGCTCTGAGAGGTGAAATGACTTGTTCAAGGTCACACACAGACAGGAAATGTCAGTGCCAGGATTCGAACATACGGCTCACTTCAGAGCTGGAGCCTTACCGATTGCAGATGAAGGAAGACCCTATGCCCCACTCCCCACCCCAAGTAAACACCACCAAAAGACCCCAAAATTCATTGTCATCAGTGGATTTCGACTCACAGGGACCCTTTAGGACAGAGTAGAACCGCCTCTGTGGCTTGAGGAGACTGTCACTCTGTAAGGGAGGGGGACCACCTCCTTCCCCAGAGAAGCTGCTGGTGGTCTGCAACCTTCCTCTGCCCTTTGGCAGGTAGATGCCTAGGAGTACCACCCTTTGCCTCCAGGGTTCCTTCCAAGAGACCCCCAGGCTGTTTAATTGGGGATGTCAGGGTCCCCTAAACATTCACTAGTTAAGAGGCTTCCTTCCAACATAAAGCTCATTTTAGAAAGAGAGGAGGTCGGGCTGGACAATAGAAAAGTGGGTGAAGGGAGACGCCGGACAGGGCAAGATATGACAAAATAATAATTTATAAATTATCAAGGGTTCATGAGGGAGGGGCGAGCGGGGAAGGAAGGGAAAAAATGAGGACCTGATACCAGGGGCTAAAGTGGAGAGCAAATGTTTTGAGAATGATGAGGGCAATGAATGTACAAATATGCTTTACACAATTGATGTATGTATGGATTGTGATAAGAGTTGTATGAGCCCCTAATAAAATGATTTAAAAAGAGAGAGAGAGAGAGAAACTGTAATGAGTACACACACAAAAAGAGGGGAGGAAGCCACACTAAAACAAAGTCAAGCCACACTCCCTGCCACCAAGTCCTTTCTGACTCAGAGCAACCTGTGGACCAGGTTAGAAATGCCTTCTGTGGGTTTCTGAGGCTGGACATCTTCACAGGGCTGTTGGTGGTTTCTAACCACTGACCTTGAGGTTAGCCGTCAAAGATAACCCACTACAGTGAATGTGCTCCCAGAGCGCTTCTATTGAGATATAACTCACATACCATATGTGCAATTCAGCCATTTCAAGCTTCCAGTTCAACGGTTTAGTATATTAGCGTGTTCTATGCACTATAGTTATAGTTAAGAGT